TCTCTCTCTCTCTCTCTCTCTCTCTCTCTCTCTCTCTCTCTCTCTCTCTATTAAGAAGTATCTCTTAAATGTTTCTCTTAAAATACTCGTGTCGCACATTGCATGCGTACATCGATCGATCCATTAGATATGCTACACACCATGCAGACATACATACATACATACATACATACATATATACGTGACATTTCAATGCTTAATTGTCGATATCTGTTTTACAGGCTATCAAACAATTCATTGATCTCTGCAACAATTTAAGCATCAACTGCAACAATACAGCCGCAGCAGGACCAACAGCAGCAGCCAATTCCAATTCCAACTCCAATCACTTCTCGAATGCCAGCACATCAAATTTTCATGTCAACATCAATACAGCAACAACAACAGCTGGCACAACAACAATACCAACAGCAACATCATCAGCAGCAGCAGCAGCTGCAGCAGCAGCTGCAGCATCATCAACATCGTCGTCGTCGTCGTCTTCGTCTTCATTGCCCATTAGGCGTCACATTTCGCACACGACAGCCGTCAAGTTTCTGTATGCCCGTAAATTTGATATACCACGAGCCGTATCTCTCTACGAGCAGCACGAGCAGATACGCCAGCGGGAATACCTGTACAACATTGATGCCGATGCGGAGCCGTTGCGCTCCGAGCTGCAAACGGGCAAATTCACAATATTGGTAAGCATCCAAAACTCTAACTGGACTTGCTCACTCTCTCATTATCTCTATCTCTCTCTCTGTCTGTATCTCTGTTTAGCCCGCCCGCACGTCGAGTGGCGCGGCCATTGCGCTATTCACGGCCAATCGGCACAGCCCGTTGAATGCCTCGCATACGACCACATTACAGGGTATCGTCTATCAGCTGGACTGTGCGCTGCAGGACACGGAAACGCAGCGTGCGGGACTTGTTTTCATCTACGATATGAGCGGCTCCAAGTACTCGAATTTCGATTATGATCTATCCCAGAAGATTCTCACGTTGCTCAAGGTGAGTTTTATTGTTCGTGTTTTTTTTTATTTTTCGTTGCATACTTTGCGGCTGCACGGGAAATTCCCCGCCTGCGCCCTGAGCCAACGTTTGCTTTGTTTGCCTCGGCTCGACACACTTTTTGGCGCTCCTCAATGTGGGTCAGTGGGGCGAAATGCGCTGTAGCTTATTAGATACACACACACACACACACAGACACACACACATAGACATATAGCTATACCATTCATATGTCTATTGATGTCAAAGTTTCGTTTGGGGCAAGCTAACTGAACTGGGCCCACAGCTCACAAGAGTCAAGTAGAAAATTTGCAGTTATTTCTCTTACATCAGATTGTAATCGAGCCGGAGTTGGAGAGCACCGAAAAAGTTTGCTTTTGTGTGCTCCATTGTTGCTGCAATTCCAGTTGCCAACTGCTCCAGGTATGCCGTTGCTTTGCTGGATGAGCCAACAAAAGAATAGCTCGGAAATCCTTTTTGCCCTCTTGCCAAGCAGTCGGCACGGCGGAAGTAGTCGAGCCTCATAATCAGCAGCGTAACAAACAATGTCAGCTCGACATTTCTATATAGCAATGTGTACATACATACATATACATGTGTATGTATGTATATTAGACAACAATGTGTCGGTCATAACGTTGCCTTTTGTGCGCCTACGCCAAATGCTGGAATCCGCAAATAAGACGTCACATTCTTTCTGGTAACGTAGCTGTGGGTAAGGGCAAACCATGAATGGAGCAGCTAAGACGAGAGAGCGGGGGAGCCCCCAGGCATGACAGGGCAGCTGCTGTGGCTATAGTTACAACAACAAAAGCACCAACAACAACAACAACAGGTAGCTCGTAATGCAGCACGTTTGCCTGTTTTCCATTTCATTCAGTTTTATTTGCTATTTGCATATACGAGGCTGAGCTGAGCCAGCTATGACAAAGACAGCACACACACACACAGAGACACACACAGACACGCATACTCATAAACTATGTATGTAAAGTACAGACACGCTGTGCGCGTTTTAGTGGCACTTAAACTTTGGAGAATTCGCGGGATTATTATGCAGACAATGGGATAGAGACAAAACGGACGTAGATAAAAATACATACACACACACACATACATACAGTCATGTAAATATAAATGTAAATGTTTATGTAAATGTGACAAAGATATGCAGCTTAACATATGCTAAAACAAGTAAGAAGACTCTAGTCGAGACTGCTCGACTAGGAGATACCCTGAA